TCTGAGGATCAACATAGCAGCTCCTTGTAATAACAACAGTAGCTGTGGTGGAAACATGTATATTATATAAAATTGACGTTATGTACGGTTGTATATTTTCTGAGGGAAAAGGAACGGACCATGACGTCCGTCCTCGACACAGCATAAGCATAGAAGAGTAGACGCCGCACAGACCGCTACTGCCTATGGTGGCCGCATTTGCGGGTTCTACTTTGTATAAACTCTTTGGTTAACCGGCTGTTTTAGCTAGGCTTTAGCTTCATATAGATCTGGAGCTCGAACGTCAAAAGAACACATTCATAAACCCGTTTGTGCACGCCAGAGTTAACGCACTCACTTTAACGTTCGTCAGGCAAAATACGAACAAGTTCAGTTCATCTTCTCAACAAAAAAATGAACGAGTTCACAAACGATCTTTCAATGAACGCGTTCGGGCACAACACTGACAATGACACACTAGAATTAGAAAAACCTGACAGATCTACATCACACTGTCACAATCATGGACTCCCTCTTGATTCACGACGGGGAAAGCTGTTGTTGGTTTAGTGTCCCGGAAACAGCAGAGAACATCTAGTCTAGTAGAAGCTAACCATTATGTTTATGTTTATGTATTTAGCAGACGCTTTTGTCCAAAGCGACTTACAAGTGATAATCGGCATGTTGCCCTTGAGGCTAACAACAACAATAACAACAACTTGACATCAATCATGGAGTGGAGGGAACAAGGTGTGGGCAGTAGAGAGGGGGACGGGTGCAGGGAGGGTGCTGGTTTAGAAGAAGCTCTCCGAAGAGCAGGGCCTTCAGGAGTTTCTTGGAAATTGAAAAGGCAACATTAGCAACTCCACCACACAGTAGAAGCTCCTTCAGGCTTGGGTTATTTGAGGAGATAAAACATCAACGTTGTAGAGCAAATGTAGTCAGTGGTATAGAGTCGCATTTCTGAATCAGAATCAGAAAAGGTTTATTGCCATTGTCAGTGAACAAGCAGTTCACAAACTAGGAACTTGCTTCGGTACTAATGTGCTATATATAACATGAATAATAAGTTTCAGAAATAGAATAAGTAGAATAAAATATAATAAAACTAGCATAAAACATTCAGCAATAAAAAAATAGGCAGGTAATGGTAATATGGCCGATAACGTGACGTTATGTCAAGTACAGCAGACGAACATGGTTGTGTATTTATAAGTTGTTCACAAGTCTAACGGCAGATGGAAAGAAGCTGTTCTTATTGCGGGAGGTTCTGGTCTGGATGGACCGTAACCTCCTGCCTGAGGGAAGCGGCTCGAAAAGTCTGTGTCCCGGGTGCGAAGGGTCAGCTGCTATCCGGCCTGCACGCCCCCGAGTTCTGGAGACATACAGGTCCTGGAGAGATGGAAGGCTGCAGCCAATCACCTTCTCAGCGGAGCGCACAATGCGCTGCAGTCTATTTTTGTCCCTAACTGTCCAATCAGAGGCAAGATGTCCCAATATCAGAAAATAAAACTCAAAACTCTGTCGTGTTCAGCTCTCCTGTGATGTGGCATTCTGCTAGTTCCCGAGGTCACGTAGGACGAGAACATCTAGCGTCTACGCGTTTTTCCACCCCGAGTGTGACTTACAAGGCATTCATTCCTACTAGAGACCACCGCAAATGTATTAAAAATATGAGTAAACCTAAACTTCAACTCAAAAGGAGGATTTATTGGAACTTTGAAAGGTCCGTTAACATAATACAGTTTATTTACAGCAACAAAAAAAATGTAATAAATGACTGTGTTATATTGGATTTGTCATATTGTCTCATATGTTTATATTACTGTGACAATTTAAATAATTGTATTGGGACAATATTTTGCCAAGATGTTTATTAAATATTTTCTTGTAAGTAAATCTGATCATGTTTTAGGACTTAACACAAATCTAAAGTTTTTCTTATCAGCCGTGAGAGGTTGTCATCAAAGATAACTCGGTATAAAATGCTTTAGGGCAACAAATCATGACGATATTGCACCATGAGTGAATTTATGATTCCCTCCCAGTGACTCCATGATGTTATCACCTCTGTTAATGAGTGAATTTTCCCCAGAGATGCAGACGGAGAGGTCGCTCTTACACGGGGAGTGAACGTGGCATCGTAAGTCAAACGGCGACAGCTGAGCCACAGATCACAGAGGGCAGAGTCGTGCACACAGGAAGTGCATTCCTTCCCCTCGCAGTCACTGCCCCCCCTCCCAACTGATGTTTGTTTAAACTGGGCTCTGATATGTGGAGAGATTACTTCTCCACTCAAGTCTCCTCCCACTCCACCCTCGCCTCCAAATGTTCTAAAAGGGACCATCTCTAGGACAGACCGAGACCATGGAGCGTCCTCGCATCTTTTCAGACCCCACCCAGGTGCTGTGACCCACTTCTCATCCAACCTGCAGTTGACCCGCTCACTGAACCAAGCATCATCATAACATGTTGTTCATCTATTAAAGGCATAGCTCACATGTTTAACATGGGCTTCTGTGAAAACTTTATTAATCATTAATAATTTCAAATATATATATTTATTACTTGTTGCAAATAGCTACATGAACAGCTTCAGCTTGGAGAAACAGAGATGAATCTTTTCAAAAACCCTATTACTGGGATGTCCAAACTTTTCAAGATGGGGTCCAAAATCGTCGAGTTAATTGTCCTCGTGGGCCACAAACGATTGATAAAATGTGGCACTCTGGACATGCCAGCTATATTAAAACATTAAAATATTTTAACTGCCTTAAGCTTCACATTTCATGTTTTTCTGGCAGAATAACAAAACTCCAGACAGAAGGGCTACAGTAGCTAGCTTAGCAGCTAATGTCTAAAGCACCTAACAACAGAAATGTTCATAAATAACAAAGGAATGTGAACTTTAGGTACATTTGTTAAAAAGCTTATAAAATGATGGATTGTTGGGATTAAATTTGCTTAAAGGCAGCAGAAACTGGGCCCAGTCAGCCCGGCAAGAGGACTAATCTCTGTTTATCCAAACTAAGGTTATTCAAAGAGCTAATGTTACATTAGCCAAAGACAAAAAAGTGTCTTGGTTTTGCTAAATCACAAAGATAAGATACTTACAAATTAGTCCAGTTACTATAAAAGTGGAAGTAAAATTTAAAACAAATAACACAAAATTTAAATGCTAAATTATTTACAAACGTTATTAAATATTATAACATGAGCATTTTTTATCTGATGACAGCAGCTCATTTCATATTAGCTGAGGAAGGCTCAAAGATGAAAACACCTGCTGGAATATCTCAAGAGTATTTCTGGTAATCAGAAGGAAGTCAGAGGAGTTATTTAATAATTTGAGTAAAGTTGAGACCTAGAAGGAAGTCTAGGGTATATTTACGGTCTCTGGCTCTCTCTACACTTTGATTTACAATCAAAACAAATTCTGCCACATCATTAATATAATAATAACTGCAGTTGTTTGGCTAAAACATTTTTTTTTGGGTTCTTCTATATATTTTTTGCCTAATTAAAAATAAAATTGTTAAATCATATTCAAAACTAATAAATGTACAAAATTAAGACACAATGAAATGTAATTTAATACCTAGTCCATCTGTTCATCCATTCATCATTTATTCATTCATCCTCATCTGGTTCAGAGTCCGAGAGCCTAGATAGACCCCAGGATGCCTGTCCATCTCAGGGTCACACACACACACACACACACACACACACACAGAGTTGCTAGTTACCTAACATTTTAGGATTGAGGTAGGAAATTGGAAACTCTGCATTCTCCATGAAGAGAAAATACAAACTCTCCTCACTTAGACTCAAACCAGAGACTTTCCCATTCTGAGGCTAACCGCTAGTCCACCCTGCAACTCAACAATCCCACACGTTTAATACACCACCTCTCGGTCAAAGACTGTAAAAGTTTGATGTGAAATATTCCTACAGTAATCTCCAAGCGATGCATGAGGGAGAGGACCAGCACAAATACACAAATCTGTGGTTGTATTGGTTCAGGAAATACAAATTAGACTTAGCCTAAGGTCACGTAGGATGAGAACATCTGGGAAATTATGACAATCCTGAAAGATTTGCACATGAATCTCGGGTCAGAACTGAACAGGGTGAACCTGCTTTTAGCTACTATGCTGCACACAGATGGAATCAGCTTCCTCATCACCTCAAATGTGTCCCCACTCTAGTAACTATTCATCTGCGTATGAATGAATGAATTTTTCTTATGCTGCCCCTTCTGCACTCTAACTGCTCACCCTTTAACTTGGCTTTTTTATCTGATTCTTAAATCAGAATTTAATTTGTGTTTTTGATTTGATCTAAATGTATTTGTGTATTTTAATTGTGCATTCATGTTGAGTTTGCTGTTCTTGCTCCTGGAAAGCAGACTGAATTGCCTCTATGTGCTACTTAAAGCGCAAGTCACCCCCAAATCAACATTTTTTGGCTGATAAAACGATATAAATGAGAGTCTAATCATGCTGTAGACACGTGTGTTCAATAATTTTGTACTTCAGAGCATCTTAGTTAAAATAAAAATTTTCTGCCTAAAACTGTCAGTGTTGTGCCGTTGTCCGGTTAAAACTCTACACTGCATTTGAATTTAAATCAGCCATCGCTATTGGCTAAGAGGTACACTATGATGTTGGCTGGTACATTATGATGTCACTATGTCATTGTGAACCTGTGTGTGTGTATTTGTTAGCGGCTCCGCGCTCGCGGTCTGCGAGGCAACAGCATTTGTTGAATTTTTCAAACAGGAAGTGGGAGTGAGGTAAGACTCTGGTAGGGGGTGACTTGCTCTTTAAATAAAGCTGCCTTGCCTTGAGTTTTACACACTGCCAATCGATCTGCACCGTCTTAGTTCTGCTGTCAATCCATATTCGACATTGCTCACAAAAATGCAGCACCGTGTCAAAGTCACGGACGGATTGATGACGTTCCTAACCAATGATCTCTTGTCATCAAGGCTCAGAGGAACGAGAGCGGTGGGAACTCACCTGAGTTTATCAGCCACAAAGATGACTCTGCGCTCCAGAAGCAGCGAAGCAAAGACGCGTGTAGCCTGCCGCACGCTGAGGCATTTAAACAAACTGTCAAAATCCACATGCTCCAGCCTGGAGTCGGTGGGCCGCCTCAGCTCGATGACCTGAAGATAAAAAGAAGAGAACTTTATTATGGTTCATCTGCATCACTATTTGAGTTATTTCAGCTATAGTGAGAAGCTGTTCTGACCTCATTTCCTGCTCCAGGCAGGAAAGTCTTGACTTTGATCATCTTCCCAGGTGCAGGGAAAGGGGATTCCATCAGACTCCTCATGAAGGGATAAACCAGGGCTGCTGAGACGCCTCTCCGTCTTTCCACCTCATCCAGGATCTGAAAACAAATAAGCTCTCTAGAACGTCGTATTCGTTTTCTGTGTGGAAGAACGGGAAATGAATCTAGTTTCACATCTATTTGCCTGGAAAATTCCACCCAGTGTGCCCGTCAATCCATTTGGATCCAAGCTGGGAAATTTATTGAGAAAGCAATTAAGTAGCAAGGTCATCTGATCTGACCTCACTCATTCTTTCCACTGTCTTCCATTTCCTACTATTACTCTCTAAAATCAAGATAGCCCTGCTGGATTGGGGAGGTTTCCTCAAACGTCCTGAAATGTTTTAATTTTCAGAACATTGTTGATTAAATTCTGGACCTACGTCTTTGAAATAAGCTTGTTTTTATTCAGGTGAGGCTGTAAAATAAAACAGAGTCGCTGTTCAGATTTTTTTTGTTAACACAGCGAGACAAAAGAGAATGTTTCTTTTGGGAAATAAAAAGTGACGTAAGGTCTGACGATGATCAGGTGGAGGCAAGACTTCCATCTGTCACCTGTCAGACAGCTAACCACAGATACAGCACCAAATGGAGCAAGGTTTGTGTGTGTGCGTGTGCGTGTGTGTGTGTGTGTGTGTGTATACAGCAGAGGACCAAACTGAACTTACAGTGGAAAACAAGTCGAAGCAGCCCAGCCTGCTGATGACACAGTACACCTCTGGAAGACGAGGTCCTTTCCCAGTAGGCTGGAGGAGTGGAAAACACAGATGGAGAGATTGATCTTCAGATGTTCCTTAAACCAGCTATAAATACATTTACGACTATCCAGTTGTGTAGTGTTAAACTTTCGTCAAGCAGGGAGATTTTTAAACATAGACCAGAAGCTATCCATGGCTGATAAATACCTCTTAAAATGTTTAGGACAGCTAGTAAAAAGGCAATAACTAAGCTCTGGTTACATACAGAACTAACTTCTATTAACCAATGGATGGTCAGAGTTAACAACATCCATGACATGGAGCGCCTGACATTCAACCTGAGATTACAAAACGAAAAGGGTGATAGATATTGGAACAAGTGGGATTTATACTTAACGAGAAGGGGCAACATCTATATACCCACGTAATGTAACTGTACTGACTATTCCCTATTTGGACTTTGTACCTCTTGTGATCCCCTAGTTCTGCTCCTTCAACTCTGTAGCACTGTGTCATACTTCGGAAATGAAAAAATAAAGTGTAAAAAAATAAAAAATAAAAAGCAGGGAGATTTTTAAGAGTCATAAAAATAATTCAACAAAAAACTTCTGTAATCTTAACTTTTCCTTCTTAAAGCACCATGTTGAAACTTTAAGCTAGAGCTTTAACATTGATATCAGTGGTTTCTGAGTTAGAAACCAGACCAGTTTCATATTTGACACCACTCTGAAACCCTCTGATGACCAAAACCACACTTGATAGTTTTGTGGAGCGGGTAAGTGTCCTAGTGGGTGCTGGTTCCCAAAGTCAGAGACTCTTGGTAAGCCTGCTTCTCACAACAAATCCTGTTAGGAATCTTGGTGTGACCTTTGACCCAGCTCTCACCCTGGATTCTCATGTCAGTTCTCTCGTTCGCTCTTCCTTTCTTTCTAAGTCATTCTGTCCCGCTCTGAACTTGAGACTGTTATCCACACCTTCATCTCCTCGCGCTTAGACTACTGTAACTCTCTTTTCACGTGTCTGAGCAGAACCTCCCTGAACCGTCTACAGGTGGTTCAGAATGCCTGTGCTCGGCTTCTGACCAAGTCCTCCAAACACACCCACATCACCCCGCTTCGCCTCCAGCTTCACTGGCTGCCAGTCAACTTCAGGGTTCATTTCAAGATCCTGGTTCTGGTCTATAGGGCCTTACATGGACAAGCACCATCTTACATTGGTGATCTTCTCAGTCCCTACAACCCCAGCAGGTCCCTGAGGGCGAGTGACCAAAGCCTACTGGTTGGGCAGCGCACCAGGCTAAAGACTGAAGGTGACAGATCACGTTCCTGCTGTGGAAGCTACAAAATCACAAACTGATTGTGACCTGGCTTTGTTGCTGCTGGATTTGTAAGTATTAATATTTTTTTAACCAACAGTACGGCTCTTTTTACTTTGTGGTTTATTTTAGCATTTGTTGGCTCATGTTAGTGTTGGCTTGTTGTTAGCGCTAGCTTCAGCGGGGTTGTTTACAACACTTGTAATTCAGCTTTCAACCAGTAGGGCAGAGGAGCAGGAAACTGCCGGTTTGTAGCATTCAACAAAGTTTTATATAATCAGTGATTAAATTATAGCGTATTTAGTATCATTTTCCACATTTTTAAAGCCACGTGTGATAAACTCACCAAACGTTGTGCTTCTTATTATCTACAGCAGCAATGTTGCATTAACTGTGCAGTTCATTCTTGTTTTATGGATCTGAGGCTTTTATTTCATCTTCCCAGACTGCTTAAATGTTTACAGTACATTCCTGTTGGTAATTGCACTCTCTTAAAGTTATTTTAACGTTATTTTCCCTGCTGAGGGAACACGAGCTTTCAGTTGACTTACTTAGTGCAACAGTAAGACGGCTGAGCACAGGTGAGGTTTTATGGAGTGCATTTTACAGACTGTGCAACCGCTGTGTCTAGTCAAGAGTCGTCCTGTCTGATAACTTGAATTTTTATCCACCACAGACTCTCTGCTGAGGATTTGTTGTCTCCTAATTGAGATAATGATGTTATGACATTAGTCTTTAGTCCCTCCCAGATTCGCAGAAAAGCTCTCAGCTCACAGGCTGAAAAATAACAGCAGGAGTTAAATCTGGTCATAAAAATAAAACTAAATCTTTCTTAAAGAGTCATTAAAACAACCAGGACATGCAGGATGGTAACAGAACACAGGGAGGTCTGTCCTCTGAAGTGAAAGTCTTTTTATGTTTCCTCCTTCCTAAACACAGGTTTATCTGCTCCTGCTGATCAGATCTTCAGCTAAACCGTTGCGTGTGCTGTTGAAACGCCACGGAGCACAGACACAAATGGATACAAGCGTTCAACCAGCACCAATCCACTTGTCCATATTAGGTATACAATTTTCCTCTCTTGTTTCTCCTCTGCTTTTCCAAATGGATGATTAACTCAACTGTGTGAGGCTTGATTCAAGTCCTCAGGAATGTTCGGTTCCCGCCAGCTGCTGGACGGACAACATGGAGGAAACAAGAGTCTCCGGAGGAGAGCAACGCTCCACAATTCTAGCCTCCTTAAAAATCTGCTTCTGTGCAGGGGAATGCAGAGCGGAGGGTTCAAAACATTCTTGCAAAATAAAACATGATTTTAGGCTCGCACGCTCAGCACACACGTTTGTAAACAGAGTCAGAGTAAACTCCTGCAAACATACAAACTGCTGCAGCGTAAACACACTAAAAAACTAAATCAGCTCAAGTCCGAGTCCCACACAGTCGTGCTCTCATCCCACAGGCCAAATGGGAGGCTCAGCAAAAACACTTCAAAGCGCCCCACAGCCTCATTACAGAGAGGAAACGCTCGGGAATGACGGCGTTTGGATGTTTCCGGGTTTCTCTTTGTCCTGCCTTTGCCTGAGAAACCCTTGTTAAAGTAAATGAGTCCGCCCTAACTGGGTCTGTATCCTCAATTATTGCATATTTTTATGCATTTTTCTGACTTTGGCTAAACTTGCTGTTTTGATGATGTGTAATTTTTATGTCAGAATGCAAGTTTGCAACAGCAGATTTATGAAGATAATTACATTTTATTTTACAATCGGTAAGGATCTGAAGTAAAAGTTTTAAATCTGCTTCAGCGAACCTAAAGAACAAGCTAGTTTTTTAACGCAAACACAGTCACGGAACACTCGTCCCTCCCCTCGGCTATCTTCCCTGATATGCTTCTCCAGGAACCGGAATCCCGCATTGCCAAAGGAAACGAGATAGTGCTAAACACCAGTTGCTGTTTTCCAGGTCCAAATGTCTTTTGTGGGCCGTGACTTTAAATTGTGTTTTCCTTTGAGGACTCTGGTAGTGTTGTTTGTCCTGTGTGTCTCTGTGTTGTCCTGCGATGGACTGGCAACCTGTCCAGGGTGTACCCCGCCTATTTGCCCAAAGACTGCTGGAGATAGGCACCAGCCCCCCGGCAACCCTGCGTGGATAAACAGGTTTAGGAAATCAGGGTATCCGCGGGTCCTTAAAAAGTCTTAAATTTGCTTTTCTAAATTTAAGGCCTTAAAAATGACAAATAATCCTTAAAGAGCAAGTCACCCCTTACAAGAAGTGTACTTCACTACCACTTCATGTTTGAAAAATGCAACAAATGTTGTTGCCTAGCAGACCGAGAGGGTGGAGCCACTAACAAATACACACACTCACGACATTATGACATCATAATGTACCAGTTTACATCATAGCAGCATACCTCTTAGCCAATAGCGGTGGCAGATTTAAATTCAAATGCAATGAAGAGTTTTTACCTGACAACGGCACAACACTGACAGTTTCAGGCAGAAAATTAAAATTTTAACTAAAATGCACTAAAGTGCAAAACTATTGACTACACGTGTCTGCAGCACGATTAGACACGCACTTATATAGTTTATCAGAAAAAAAAAAGTTGATTTGGGGGTGACTTGCTCTTTAAATACAGTTTCCAAAGGTCTTAAATTACCAAAGACCCAATAAACAAGATTCTTTGATTTCTGTTAAATTTTCGTGAATTTCTAGTTCGTGTTCAGCATTTTATGTGTATGATATTGGCATAAGTGGAACCGTACACATTCAGTTGGTTGTGAAAGGGGGCTATTTTTAGATGAGCACATTAGCTGGTTAAGCTAGTGGGAGTTGCGCCATGGGGAAGTGCAAGTTTAATGGTAACTGGATGGCTAATCCCACGTTCGTGACGTGGTTAGCACCGGTTCCAGGCAATAGCTGGTAATTATAGCTTAAATTTAATTAAAAAAATAGCTTAAATTTGGTCAAAGTGGCCTTAAAAAAGGTCTTAAAAAGTCTTAAATTTGGCTCCCGTAAACCTGCAGACACCCTGGAAATGGATGGACTCTGGTAGTTTGTCCTGAAGTTTATGTTTCTCTTTCTCTTGATAATATTGAGCCTCTCACACCAGTGGTGTTCTATTGCAAAATGCACGAGCGTGTATGAATGGAGGACGCAGGTACCGTATTTTCCGGACTATAAGCCGCTACTTCTTCCCACGCTTTGAAGCATGCGGCTTATAATGAGGTGCGGCTTTAGTCAACCTGAAAGGATGGATGCTAGAAAGTCTAATGAAGGAATGGTTAAATGAGTGCTACGGAAAGCGCCCAGGAGGATTTTTTTCACAGTAAAACGGGGCTGCTTGACTTCCCAGCTTCACCTCGGGATGATGACAGCAACACGGAGAGCGACTCTGACATTGCCAAAGAAAAGGTATGTGACGAAGCTCTTCTGAGGCTGTTCAACTCCGACACTGAAGAAGATGACTTCAGTGGTTTCAGTGCGCAGGAGGACTATGAATAAACTATTCAATAACTTTTTTGTTTTGTTTGATACTGATCAGTTCAGTTAAACTATGTTTTCAATTCAGTAGATATCTGCGGCTTTTAGCCCGGTGCGGCTTATATTGAGGTGCGCTCTATAGTCCGAAAATTACGGAAAATGCAAAGTGTGGTGGTCCAGTGAGACCGACAACTGGATGGTCCAATCGTTGGTTTTGGTCCAAAACATGTTACGATAACTGACAAATGATCTG